TATTAATGAATTTAATCTTTTTCGTAATTTAACGTAATTATTTATTTAGTAATTTATGTATTTATGAAATAATTAAATAAATATTATTTCAAATAAGTAGATTATAATGAATAAAAAAAGGGAAGAAAATGGTTAAATACTGTTCATTTGGTGTAATTTTTGGTGTAATGGTTGGAGATGAATTTTAGTTTGGTACAAGATTTAGTGTAAAATTTGGTGCAAAATGGTGCAAAATTTTTGGTGCAGGCTTGGAGATGGCCTTAGCTCCAGAAGAACTTGCTAGGACCGAGCTGTGTGCACAGCATGGCACACAGCTCTGTTCATAGCCCCCTCACATCAGGGGGCTGCCGAATAAAAAAATGGGCGTAGGCCCCCTCTACAGTGAGGGGGCTGTAAGTGCACAGCACCTTTTGGTGCTGTACAAGTAGGTTAACCCAACTTGCTATTGGGCTGCACAATGAAATAGTCAGAGAGTCAAAGCTAGTGTAGTCACTTATATCCTAACATTGTTGTATAACACCAAAGGTCTTCCTATCAGATCGGTATCTTTTGGTTTATTTCTTTTAATTATTTTTTAATGTGATAAATATAAAATTATTATTTTACCCTTTGAAATTATAAAGAAATCGGTCAGACTTAATATTTTGGTCAACTAACAGTAAATTGAATGTTTTACATCCATTGGATCCTTAGCTGCTACGATTAAAAGGTTAGAGAAAAGTCTGTCAATGTTTGAAAGGTTTGGAGCTTTTGTTCCCTTTTTTTAAATTTGGACACGTCTCTATGAAAGAAATACAAAGTCCAGATGAGAAGAAAGTGTGGGCAAAGATACGTGTTTGATTGCTGCAAAGAAGGCAGAAGTGGGAGAGATGGGGAGGGATAGACGCTTCTAGGAATTTTGGTAGATGGTAAGTTGTTCTCTGTAGATAATGTCATTTTCAGCTTCTTACACTGTATGACTCTCTTTCCTCCCATAGGTCCTATCTGCTTTTATTGCCCGGTCTGCTCCCATGAAAACATTTTTAAATAATATAAAAATAGATCGATTTTAAAGGTAGATTCATAAATGATAATTTGATGAATTTCATCTTCATTGTATGAATGATCCAGGAGAAATAAGTGCAAATTGACAGCTGAGATGTCATAAGTGAAAGGGATAATAATGGACAATATTGAGAAGGTACAGCATGAGGCATTGAAGCCCAAGCACAAAAGGCCGCTGCAAGAGTCTTGCAATAAACCTTTCTACAAGCCTCTTGTTCAGCAACCTTTGGCATGATTGTAAGTTTGTTTTAATACTTCTTAAATGAAAATTCAATTTCTATTATTTATTGTAATTGTTCAACTTGCCACAATCTGCTTTCTTCTTATTAAAATTAGCTTAAAAGCATTGATATTTCCTCACCAATTTTTTGACTCCATTGTCATGCCTTGGAGATATATCTTCCATATTGTAATTATTTTTTCTTTCCTTCCCTTTTTTTTTTTTTTTTTGAAACACTATTTCCCGCTTTTGGCATTTGGTTGCTACTATTTTAGGTGAGTTGATCATGTATGAGTATATGAACCTAATATGTCCCACAAGTATTTTACACGCCATATTGGCTGGATGCTCAAATTTATTTCATTAGGCATAGGCTTATTTTGTTTGTGTGTATATCCAATCCCATCTTCAAATTAGCCTATGATTTTATATGTTGATACTTACGTGACTAAAATATGAAATATATACCTTACTTCTTGTGCACATGAAAACCTATATCCCTAAAAATACTCTGATTGAGCGATGCATTTTATTTACAAATTGTATGTTTAAATACTAAAGATTAGCAATTGCTTAAGCTTAGTTGAAAACTTAGTGAACTTTCAAAATAATTCCATTAATATTCGACCCGCTAACATCACGGGCAAAAGACTAGTAATGTGAAAAGAAGCAAATGCATACCTGCAAGGTGGGCTAATTGGAAAAGAAGCACATGCATACCAGATTAGGTATTTAGATGGATAATTTTGACTACCGCGATTTGAATGTCGCATTTTCTGCCGTTTCTCTGGAGAGTAATTTGATGGCTGCTTCTAATTTTACTAGAGTAAAATATATTCAATCTCATGGAAATCTGTTGCATCTTAATTTTCTATTTATTTGCAATAGTTATTTTTATCCAAATATTTTGTCAGTGAGCATTAAAATGAAGGAAAAATATGAAGTTTAGTTTTTGTATTTATTATTTTTTGTTTATATAAGTCTTTTATGCTTCGTGACAAATTTTTTGGACGAAAACTTATACGATGTGCTCATTAATGAAGAATTGAAGATAATAATGCAATACAAAAAATTAAAAATTAAGTATGATAACGAGCAAAAGTTATAAACTTATTTGTATTTAAAAAGTAGCGCTCATTTGTATTTAGTTTAATGTATCAAAAGGCTCTCGTATTTTCGGACCATTTTGGATGGCTGCCAAACACACGTTGAGGAATCCATAAGAATTGTCACTTATTATTATCCATTTTTATCTATTTATAACTCAAACCGTCAATATACACGTCCTAGCTTTTCTATCTCCAAATTGGTTTACGATCTTAATAAAAAAAGGTTGAACCCTAATCTTGAGAGCTTCCACCGCCCTGCCCTTAGAATTTTGTGAGTGAGGTAAATCACGAAATGTGCCCCAACAGGTCAAGGTACAAGAGTTGCTTGTACACTGCGCCTACAAGGAGTCCAATTCTATGTATCGGGAATCAAACTCCCACAGTGCGGCTGCCAGCAAGACGTGAGATAACCTCACACCTGTCATTTACATTACTGGAGTATGCCCCAGGGGCTGGTTTATGATCTTTATAAATAAGCAAGTTAGTGGTTTAACTGTGGTTATTGTTGTGCAACCAATTTCCAACTTTAGAAACTGTTCCGAATGTATAAAATTGTAACATTGTCTTCTCTTGCCCAATTTTTATGTAACAGACATTTCAAGAGGAATTTTTTTTTTGGAGGTCATTAAAGATTGATTGTGCAATTATAATAAAATATTTATGACCAAATCATTCATTTTTAATTATGAGAAACCCTCTCCCTACTCAGAAAATAATTGCTCGCAACCAAATATTCAATTTCTTTTCTACAAGTTTTGTTCCCATATGAAAAACACCTCTAGATGGGAAATTGAAAGGAATTTATTTGTTAATTTCATAGAAATTACGTTCTTTCATGATTAAGAGAGAGAGAGAGAGAGAGAGAGATTGACACGAAGAAAACAAAATAGAGGAAATAATAATTAGCAGTCTTTTGTAATTTATTCATGCAAATGTTTATTTCACATAATCATTTACACAATCTTTTCCAAATTGATGAGATGTAAAAAATAAATTGAAAAAAAAAAGGAGAGTTGTGTCTATTTTTCTTTCTTTTATTGGTCAGTGAGATTTTCACTCATTCTAATATTGTCACATCGTATTAATAGACTAATTTTAAATTTTGATGTACACATAGCACAATTGTTTATTTATTATCCATCGCATTTTGGATAAAGATGTTTTTCTCGTATCCTTGATTGAGAGATCATAATTATATTCTTTCTCCAGTTTGCCCGATATGAGATACCTCATTCAGATCAAATAGGTAACTAGATGTCGAGAATTGATATTTCTCGAAGAAATCTTCATATCAAGTTTTAATATACTTATTTTACAGAGTAAACATCCAAATTAAACAAATTAAATTTTTTGGGGTTTTAGTCAAAATTTGATACTTTCTCAAAAATAACGCAAACAATTAGTGTGTGTTTGATTGACTTTATTTAAAAAAAAAAAAAAAAAGTCATTTTGTCACCCAAATTCTTACTTTGGGAGTGTTTAATTGAGAATCTTTTTTCATAAAAAATACTTTTCAAGTTTTGGTTATGTGACCATATTTTTCTTATAAACAATGAAAATATTTTCTTTGGGGAGAAGTGATTTTTATTTTTCAGATAATTCACTATTTCATCTATTCCCTCTCTCTCTCGTCTATCTATTAATAAAAAATTGATAATTATAATATTTTCTAAGTTGGAAACTATCGATCAAACAGATTTAATTAATAATTTTCATACAAATAAGTTTAAGCAATTCAATAACTTAGAATCATTTTCTTTTCATGCAAATTTCATGCTCACAATCACACACACATTTAGTAAAGCAAATACATATTGATGAAAATTCTGTTCAACAATGATTCAAATAAAGAATTTTGTGGATTAGTCCCTATAATAATGAATTTAGCCCCAGTTTGAAAAACTTTTTTTTTTTTTTTTTTTTTTTTTGAGAAGAAAAGGAGTTTTGGAATATTAATTTTTTTTTGGAGAATGTTGGTTCAAAGGTAAGAAAAAATTTTAGATTTACGTGCAGAATATTTTATTATGAGAATCGACGGATAAAAATGGGTTTTATTTATTTTTTCTGTAAAAATAGTTGTCAAACAAGGGGCTTAGAAAAATTTGTAGTATAGATTCCAAACCTTTCAAAAATGTATTGTCATGTCTTAAGACTTTTTAATAATATCTAAGACCATGTTTGGGAGTGATTCTGAGAATTGATTTTTTGATCGTTAGAAGAAAAGTGGGGTCCACCAGTGAAAGAATAAGTCAAATATGAGAACTGAAATAGTGAAATAACGATAAAAAAATCAATTTGTTGGGGGAAAAAATTATTCTCAAACAAGCTCTGAATCTTAAACATTTAAATAAATGTGCTAAAGTCCAAAAAACAATTAGCTAACCAAAATTTCATATCCAAACATGTTGGTTCGGAAGGAGCATGTGAGAAATCCCCTTGTTGATGACAACTGCAATGGCTGAATATGCTAGGGGTAATGTTAATTGATAAAACTTCGGTCATTTAGGGTTATATGGACAGAAACCGACAATTAGAAGATTTGGGACCTAATGGCAAATTTTAAAAAGGTTTGGAGCTGTTCTGCAAATATCCCCTGAATTTATGATTGGCTTCCAATAAACTCTTTCTAAAGTTTAACAAAATATAGCGGCCCCTCAATTTCGAACCTGTTCCCTCCACTTTCAAGATTCAAACTTGTTATAATCCATTCGAAAAGGCAGTAAAAAACCGGATAACAAAGCAATTTCTTCAGTTAAGTTTTGCTGAATTCTCGATGGATCTTCATCCTACACCGTTTCCAGGTTTATTGTTTTCCTTTTCTTTTTGGGAAATCATTCTTGTTATTTTTGGCTGTATGGGTGAATGGGAAGAAGCGTGCAACTTCGAGAAAATTTCTTATACTTACAGTTATAATAGCAGGCAAGGATCAGGCTACAAAAGTGAAATCGAACAAAAAAGTATCCAAAGCAACGAAAATGAGTAAGGGGCCAGGGCCACCCTCTTTGAGGTAAAGTTTCGATCTGTCTTCCTGATCTCTAAGTGCACTTATACTGTTTGTGTTTTTGTCTGTGTGAAAGTTGATTAACGTTTCAGACAAAACCGAATCTTTGGAACTGCTCGGAATCCAAATATAACTTCGAAGCCAGTGCCTGAAAAGCCTACAACAAAACCCTCATCCATGGTGCTCCAAAAGACTGCGAAACCATTGCGCAAAACCCAATCACCTATTGATGTCCAGGCCATTCCGGAGACGGTGTCTACCAAGAATTCTGCAGAGAAACCGTCTCTGAAGAATTCTGCAGAGAAAAACAGGACAAGGCCGAAGAAAAAAAGCGTGTCATTTCAAGACAAAAATGAAAAGAATTTGGCGAAGGGAGATCTTTTGGAGCCTCAAACTCCAGTTAGATCGCCTTCTCTAGTCAAGCCTAGGCTTTCTGGCACGCCTTATCACAGTGCCGAGAGGTGCAGCAAATGTAGGTTCGATCGACTCGAGACTTCATCGTACTGGGTTGGTCAGATCAAATTGGCAGAGTCCGCTGGGAAACACTTTGTTACGGCTGCTTTCTTCCGGTTGGCCCTCGAGTCGAAAGCAGAGGTAACCTAACTAGTTTTCGAATTCCATCTGTGTTTTCTACACTGTTTCTGGTGCGTAAGAAATGCAATAAAATTTCTTGATTACTAATTATAATTTGCTGTTAGCCCTTTCGCAACCTGCGAGTTGAACTTAAAAAATATTTGGTACGACACGAGTACTTATCTGAGGACGAGGAATGGAGAAACCTGTCAGTTAACTATGGGCTACTAAAGGAAGAAAGCAATGCAGGTGAGGAAAATGAGAAGGCATGTGCAAATGAAGAGTCTGCAAGTGTACAAGATGAAGAGAAGGATTTGCAGAAAGAAATTTGCCAAGAATGTGAGATTGAAAGCCTTTTTAATTGTGATAACAAATAGTATCAGAAAGCTTTTTTGCTTTCAAATTGTGATAAATGTTAGAATACGAGAATGATATTTATTTGGTTACAGAAAACATCCTTTGCTGCAGTCGAATTCCAGAATCATTGTTTATTGACAAAGATGAATGTTTTTTTAACTTTTCATTTCCTGTTTCTAAACAAGATTCTCACCTCAGAATGTGAACGAATATATGCAAGAAAATGGATCTTGTCTGAGTTTTCAATGGAAGTCAAGCTGTAGAGCCGGTACCAGGTATCTGCTATATCAGGATATCAGAATATGAAGGAGCCATGAAACAAAAAGATTGAGCATCTTCTCCGTCACTGTTCCTTGAAGAGATTGCGACCAATTATAATTCGTCTAATCTCACTGGTGCCAGCTCCGATTTCATACAATTTGGCATCACGAAGAAGACGTCCAGTAGGATATTCATTGACGTATCCGTTGCCCCCGAGACATTGAATAGCCTGAAAAAGAACAATCGAATTCACAACATTGCTCGTGGTCTCAAGTTCTTCCTCGAGATTCAGTCGAGATAGAAGGAGAAATACCATATTGAGCCAAGATATAAAGTTGAAAATAACAAAGTTACCTATTTGAAAGTAATCTGATTTTACTGTCGAAATAAGAATTAATTTAAATAAACATAGAAAACAGAGACATACTTGAAAGCAATTTTAAGGTACCAGCTAGCGAAATACTAAAAACATCCAATGCAGCAATATGGAAAAATGAAATTCTAAATAATATCAAATAGATTTCTTCTAAAAACATCCAATGCAGCAATATGGAAAAATGAAATTCTAAATAATATCAAATAGATTTCTTTCACCTGAAGAGCAACTTGTGTAGCTCTTTCGGCAGCGTTAAGTATAACACCAGCACAGTCCTGATATCAAAATACATATATGAATTTGAAATGGAGCTGTAAAAACTATACGAAGACCGAAAGTAAAGATAATTAAAAACAATTAAACATAAGAAGCAAGTGGTATTATGTGCACCTGTGGATCAATCTTTCCGTTGTCACAATCCCTTGCAACAGAATACACATACGCCCTGTAACAAATGAAAAACTTTATAGCCATAGGGGGAGAAAACTCAATTAGATCCACTTGTAAGTTAAACATCCTACCTTGAAGATTGTAATGAAGTATACATGTCAGCAACCTTTCCCTGCATTTTGGGTCAAATAACTTAAGCAGAGATTCAAACAAAAGCAACACGAGAAATATTTTACTTTTCTTATCGCATTATAGAAAACCTGTATAAGTTGAAATTGTCCAATGGGTTGGCCAAATTGCTCTCGCTGTCGAACATAGGGAAGAACAACATCAAGGCAAGCCTGCATGAGTCCAAGAGGTCCAGCTGCCAAAACAAGCCTCTCTAGATCTAGGCCCGATAACATAACATAAACTCCTGAAACAGATAAGAAATCATGGTGAGGTTCTTCTAGCTTCAGTTATAACCATATATGTGCGACCTGAGAGAAAAGTTCACCATCCTCACTCCTCAAAGCCTCTATCAAGAAGTTGCAAGAGACTTAAGAGCGTGTTTGCTAAGCATAAACAATATAGTTATAAGTAAAAAAGTTTCAAAATAGATAATTCTTTTATTAGTCAAAGTTAGCAATAGTTAGTCAATTCAACAATAACTTAAGAGTTACTTTCAAAATAAGTAAATATTTTTCACTTAAAGTAAAAAAAGGAACAAAAGTAACATATCCAAACTTCACCGGAAATAAAAATTTTCTTAAAAGTAACTTTTACCATTTTTTGAGAGTAGCCAAATATGCTCCGAAGTCAATATGACTGTTTATTATCAGAATATATTTCAATTGGGGGGAAAAAGGGCTATGTCCTGAACACTGGACCAGAAAAGTACAGAAGCTGGAAAACTAGAACTCTCCATAACAAATATTCTGGCTCAGACATAAGACCTGGCAGTTCTCAAACATCTAACCTTTAAGGGGCAAGAAAATAATTCATTTTGGTAAATGTAAAAAATCAGGCCGCATTAATGTTTTGATTTCATTCTAATTATGCTGATATTAATAATTTAGTATCAAATGGAAATGAACATAAATTATGTGGTTTCCAATTACTACACTAGCTCCAAAAACCGGAAGTAATTATGAAACTTCTGGTTTCATGATGGAATTTGTCATTAATTGAATCATGTTAATGTAGATACCTTTCCCTTCCTGACCCAGAACATTTTCTTCAGGAACGAAGCACTTTTCAAAAACAAGCTCGCATCTACAATTTAGTTGATTACACATTTTAAGTTATCTTCTATGGAAAGAGAAAAATACAAATTCAAAGCAGAACAGTATTATTTCATGAGAAAATCAAGCTTACGTATCACTTCCCCGCATCCCAAGTTTGTCTAGTTTCTGGGCAGTGCTATATCTGCATTTCACCATGATTAGAAAAACACGTGAAGTTAAAAATTGCCGGCATGTTATGAGCTACTTTCAGCAATGCTCTTTTATTAAATGACCTTTTTCAATGGCCTCTCTCCAAAACCCAGATGCGCCTTAAGTATTGTCTCATTAGAGAAAGGAGGCACATAAAATGGCATCAGATGGGCGCATAATTTATTGGTCTTTTTGTGTCTGCTTATCATCTCAGGCTAAATAAAACCTTGCTAATCAAATATTTATTGAGAAGGTAACAAGCTATCACACTCTTGAATCTAAGAGCATGTTTGGTTTGCTTTAAAAGTAAGTCAATTTACTAATCAGTCAATTTTGCCGAACATGATTTCTGGAGTTACTTTTTACCAACAAAAAGTTGCATTTTTAGATAGAAGATTTAACTTACTTCATAGAAAAGTAACTTTTTTAAGCACAACCAAACGTGCTCTCAGTCAATTTTAGTGTGCTTGGCCTCTTATCGGACTCAAATGATCTAATCTCCGCTGTGACAGATTTTTACAAGCTAAAGACACATGTATTGATTGCATCTTCACAGTCAGAAACGGTGCGTACCCAGACATTCCCTTCTCAATGATGAAGGCCGTTATTCCTTTGGAGCGAGCTGCCATATCCGTTTTTGCATAGACAACCTGATCCAAACTAAATGCCAATTACAACAAGTGATGAAATCAAATCAAACAGATAAACGAAGGGAAGATAAATTTGTAGTAATAGTTACTATGTCGTTACAATGGAACACCAATACACCATAGAGTGCAACAGAAACAGAATTTGGAAAGGTAGTTTACATATATTAGGTAAATGGGTCTTACAACGCTAATACTAATGATTCGCTGGATAAGCAAATACGCTCTATAAAATTTATCAAGTATTATAAAATTGGTTTACATGTAATTAAATAGAAAGGAAACATATTGACATCTATATGGATAAATTGCAAAGAAAAAAGATTAAATAGTGACTGACAATCCAAGAATAGAATTTCAAACAACTTATGTGGTCAAGGACAATACCAGTGTCTGAGCTATTGGACCATTCGTGCACCACATCTTATTCCCATTCAGAATATAACCACCATCAACACGCTCAGCTTTGCATTTCATGCTAACAACATCTGAGCCAGCTAAATAAAACAAGCAGAAGTTGCTCAGGTCACACAAAAAACTTTCTACCTAGAAATTTTGTCTGACATTCATCGGGATGAAGAAAGTTTCAGATGAATTACCATTAGGTTCACTCATTGCAAGAGCTCCAACGTGCTCTCCACTGATTAGCTTCACAAGAATATAACAGATGCAGAAGTCAGCCACCCTCAGAAAAATGAATCTGCTACTTTCAAAAGTTGAGTTTAGGAGCTTATGACTTTTAGATCAAATTGTCTAAAAGGTATTAGGATTACACACACACATATTAGCCACAGAATTACTTGTTTCAATGATTAAGAAGTAAAAAGGATTAAAAATATCTTTGTCAGGTTTGCTACTTCAGTTAAACTGTCAAATTCCTTACCCTAATCATTCGCATTTTTTAAGTCAAATTTCAATATGAATTCAATTATTATTTATAGCAATAAAAGGCTACTAAACAATGTGTATAGAAAGATAAATTGATGTGATGGAAGTGAAACCTTTGGCAAATATTTTTCTTTCTGAGCAGGGGTTCCATGCCTCACCTACAAGATTATATATGTTATTAAAGTTTTTGATAGGTAATGATAAACAAGCCACAAAAAGTCAAAATATAAGTTTATTTAGTTACCAATTGATTAATGCATAGGTTAGAATGTGCACCATATGAAAGGGCAACTGACCCTGAAGCACGACTTATTTCTTCCATAGCTATGCAGTGATATAAATAACCTAGGCCCATTCCTCCATATTCCTCTACAAAAGTTCAACGAGTTCAGTTTTAATCACAATTTGTCAACACAAACACGAGTCTTTAGACGTTAGACGCATTAAGTGTGATCACTCAGATTTTGACCACAGAAAGAAACAAAAATTATGGAATAAAAATGTGCCTGCAACTCATCTGTCTTTTTCAGAAGATAATAGTTCCACAAGATACATTTTTTTCCTTAATGATCAGTGCACAGGTAAAATCTCCCTAACATAAGAGGGTGTTTGGACATCTCCCAAGTAGGTTGGTTTATCAGTTTTTAAAAAATTCTATATTGACAGCTAAAGGACCCCTGATTCTATGTCAAAAAACAGAAAAATAATAATTAACATAAGAATACGATAAATATAACTAGGAATGCAGTCTGAACTTCGTCCAAAGGCTATACTCTCAACTATTCACTTCCTCAGTGATAGTAACGCCATAACAAATTGAGTTAATATTACTTATGAATGCATGAGTTGTTTGTACAATTCTTAGCCTAATGGTGAACTTCAAATGAGGAAAGTCTGTATTTAACACAAAAATAGATCAAGGAAGATGCTACGAGAAATAACAAAAACTCTCAAGTCCATTTCTCTAATTAGAATCCTAGAACCAAAAAGACAGAGAATAGCCATGGTTTTTGAGGAAAATATAAAATTAACAGTACAGAAATTTTTTGCATTCGTTTCTGTAAACAATAAATATATTGTCTACAAACTAGAGCAATATAAAGCAGAGCTGATGATATATTGTGGTGAGAGGTTCTACCAGGAGCAGTGATTCCATGGAGACTAAAATCACCCATCAATTTCCATAAATTAACTTCCTGATATGAGAAAAATGAAAGAAATAAAAATAATAATAAATTATATTTTCTAACAAAGTGCAAGTGGAATTATGTAAATTCCAGTTGAATATAGACCAAGTGCAATTATGTCAACCTTGGGAAAATAATTTGTTCTATCTATTTCTGAGGCATAAGGGGCAATATTTTCTTGAGCAAACTGAGCCACACTTTCCTTAAACTGTAAACACCACAACAAATAACTTGTTAAAGAGAACGTTAACTGAGAAAATGTAACTAAATAAGAGGTTATCACAGTACATACTGTTCAATAAGACAATCCATAAATGGTATCGAATTGAATTGAATCCAAAACTTAACTTGCTAAATCTTTGGTGGCATCAGAGAGATGCTAACAGTGATCATATAATTCTGACTCTACGAAGTCATTTAATCTTATACAGCAACTGAAGAGGTAACATAGAATTAATGAAACTAAGGTTTATTGTTTGACTAGTTGGTGAATATAGATTAATGCATGTGTACGGTTCGGTATCAACACATTCAAACAACCCACCTCGACCCTCAACCCCAGCAAAATACCCCACCCCCACCCCGATTCCCTAACTGGACGAGGACAGGGAACATGTCCCTGCCCCTACTCTTATTTTTTAATTTTACTTAAATAATGTTTTTAAATGTAAATCGTAATTACAAAATTAAAAAATAATATGGAAAAAATGTAAATGGGGATATTTTAATATTGACGTCCGGTATCAACAAATTCAAACAACCTACCCCCACTCCGGCCCTGATTCCTTAACGGAGCAAGGTCAAGGAACGTGGTCCCTGCCCTATTATTATTATTACTTTATTTTTAGAATTTTTAAACGTGAAACCTAGTTAAAAAAGTAACAAAATTGTATTAAAAAGTTAAAATGAGATGGTGAATGGGGAAAATTTAATCCTATTCCCACCTTCAGAAAATCCACGACAGGGAAGCAAGGAGGCTGACTTGGGCTAAGCGATTTTTACTGAAATTTAAATCAATTCGAATTCAGGAGTCAATTTAAATTCCAATTCAAGCCATAATTCCATGCTTCCGAACATAGTCTCAAAATTTTATTTTATTTTTTTTGTTTATCATCGTGCTTAAATCCAAAAAGTCCGTACACCTAATCTGAAATCGAACTGCACTGATATCTCTTCTTTCTTTTTATTGACTAATCTTTTCATTACATCTTCTTCTGACAACGTCTTTTATTTATACTACTCGAGAAGTTGAAAAGATTCTTAATCTACGAGACAAGAACATAATTATGCAAATAAATACACCGAAATCACAAAAGCACGCATAAACACCAATAAAATTATACGACCAAACCTGCTTCTGGGTATCATCAAAGAGGAAGGAAGTAGAAAACGCAGTAGCAAAGCCTCGTTGGGGCTGTTTTCTGAATAGTGAAGAAGTTAGGGACCTCACTGCAGACAATCTCTGCATCTTTGTTTCTGTGAATTCAGGATGCTGATGAGAAATTGGAGAATGGGAAAATATAAGAGCAGAATTGATAAGAGTCGTAGGAGTGATGCATTGGCATTTATTTAACATCTTTATAAAGTTGTGGGTGTGTTTGGATAAGCTTAATTTTAAAATTACAAGTCATTAAAATAATTTTTTATTCATCTTTCTCTGTCATTCCTATCTTAATCATTTTGTACTTTTAACTTAGCCCTTATTTGATTTCCATTATTTTTTGACTTAGCCCTTGTTTGATTTTTACTTAAAACCTGTTCGGTAGTGATTTTAAAAATTAATTTTTTGACTGTTAAGAGAAAAATGGAGACCACTTGTAAGAGAATAAATCAAAAATTACGGTTAAAATAATTATATATCGATCAAAAAATCAATTATTTAGATGAAAAATCACTCCCAAACGGGGCCAATTTCATAACCATATATTTCACATCAATATATTACTAAAACATGCATTCTTAAGAAGAGAATGGATTCAAATAATCATTTTTTCTAGATATTGAGTTCATTGATGGAATTTTTGTGTTTACTATTGAGTTCCTCAATGGAATTTTTGCGTAAACTCTTTAGTCAATGCAAAAAGAGAAAATTATCGTTAAATTTAAAGAACAAATAAATAAAAATAAATGGAAAATGGAAAAGAAAAAAATAATTATTTGTGATTAAAAGTTATTTAATGGAAGTGCAAATAAAGGTATATGTGCCCGGGTCTTGTATACATAGGTTGTATCTAAATAAGAGTATAGTGAAGGTATGTATCGTTATTTGTTCACTTGCGTGCTTAATACTTTATTGGGTAAATTTTGTAGTAGTAATTTAAGGTATATATATCTATGTTTTAAAAAAAAAAAAAAATTGTAACAATGGGTATTTAATTTATATCACACATGATGGGTATGGTACATATCAGGTTATTTTTATCGTAATACTTTCTTGATTTTTCTCTTTTTTTTTTTTGTTTTTAGAAGAGAATTCAATTATATTTAATTTATCATCATTTTTGTCTCTCTCGTTTGGCAACAACTTGTATACAAATAAACTAGGTTGTACAATATATAAAATGAAACATATGAAATAAATGTTGGACTTTACTACATGAACATAATGGGCTACATAATGGACACGTGGCACCTCGGCATTGGCCGAGGCGCCTGCCACACCTCAGGCCCACAGGCGTCTCGTCGTGTCCATTATGTAGCCCCTTTTGTAGTCCATTATGTTCATCTAGCATTTTTCATAAAGATTTTATATCGTGAATACAAAAACACTAAAATATGGATGTAACTAGCCCTAAAAATTAGAGTTTATGTGGTATTAATACTTTGATAAAAAATTGTAAATTATTTAGAATAGTTTGAGTTCGTCACTTGAAATCCTTAGGAATCTGTATTTTTACAACTTAAATAGTAGAAAACTAATTTGTAGCTTTACATTAAAACATGATGGAGGTACTTCAAATGAAAATGTGAAAGTCGTGCATGTAGAAAATATATAACCCATGTATAATTCATATACATAAGATTTTACATAATATCCCGGGGAGCTACTTGGCTAAACTTAAGAAAGCACTAGCCAACATTTCTTTTGTCCGTTTCGAAAAATAAACAATTGGTTATGAAAGGGCGGTGGAACAACACCCTTCTGTTTTTTCGGTAGTGTTTGGCGTTTCCACCACTCCGTCAAGTATGCAAGATCTGAAAAATGAAGGCGGGGCTTTCTCCCCCGTTTTACCTTCGACGTAAGAATTAGTTTTTAGACTTGGAAGAGATATATTTGAAATTCAGATGGCTAAAACGAGAATGAGAAAAAATCTCTTACCTGTGTCACATCTGGGGGTATTTATAGATATTAGGCACTGGATAACCGCTGGGAGGTTGTGGTGCCACGTGTCCCACGTTGGTATTCCCACTACACCCACGTTCTAAGTGAGGAGTTCTTAACTTCCCGCCTGAAGATTGTACCTGTATCAGCGGCCATGGAACTTGGTCAATCCATTAAAGGTTTTATGGCTAAGTGTTTGGACAAGCAATATCATGCCCGTTGAGGACTTCGCTTAGAGGTAGAATGATTTCGAGAGATAATGGTAGAGCGCCCTTTGGGGGTTGTAGTAGAGCTCCTCCCGGGCGTAGTGGTAAAATGCCTTCTGGGGGTTGTGGTAGAGCGCCCCCTAGACGTAGTGGTAGAACGCTCCTCCCGGCGTATTGGTAGAATGCCCTATGGGGGTCGATGGCCTTGCATCGGAGTGCTGTGATCTGCTTTGCTTGTCATTGAGAGTGACTACTTCTACCAACCTATATCATTAGCCCCCTACCCCTTGTCGATGTTTTCGGCAAGGGGTAGCAATTTTAGGTTGGTTTGAAAGTTTTTTTTTTTTTTTTTTATGAGAAAGGAATAGTTCGTACTAGCAAATCGAGCCATATAAACACGATCGAGTGGCAATTCTACTGTACACATGGCTCCTTACCAATGGTCTTAATGTTGGAGGGAGATTTTCCTCCAATTCCCCCCCCCCCCTTCAAAAAGTTTGAATTCTAGTGTTATAAAAGGGGGGTAATTCTCATTCTAGAGAATCACTTTCATTTTCTCTCAACATCCTAGGCTTCCTCTCTTCTAAGGTAATTTTCTCTCATTTTTTAAATCCAAGGTCTTGCTTTAAATTTCTTCTCTTCATCTTCTTTTTGTCATGTATAAAACTATTCTTTCTTCTCCTTCCAATGAAAAAAGTGATGGGGGTGTAGTGATTCAACCGGACCTTCGTCGGAGGGTACCGGAGGGAGTCCGACCGACCTACGGGGGGGTCGATCGCCGACCAGCCCAGTTGGTCGACCTACGGCCAGCTCGAAGGCTGGCCGTCCCCCACCACCCACTAAGACCCGTGGCTTGTCCGGTCCTTCGATCCGCCCTTGTAGTGTCTCGCCCCTTCATCCGACGGATCCCTTTATGATATTGATAGTGAAACTCATTCAATTGATTCTCAGCCGTTTGTTCCAAATCTCCCGAAGAGACACATCGGTTCTTCTAAATCTCCAAACCAAAATTTAGAAATCGGGCGTGACCCTGCCGGTGAGGTTGTCCCCCTAGATATCCCAAAAAGTTATAGTCTCTACAATTCGCCACTTAAGTTGGAAAAATGTCTAGGTAAGTATGACCGGGTTGATGATTACGTCTATAGAGCCCCCGGTCCTAAAGAAAGGCTCCCCGGGTTCGACCCCCGTGAAAGGGCGGTGGAACAACACCCTTCTGTTTTCCCGGTAGTGTTTGGCGTTTCCATCACTCCGTCAAGTATGCAAGACCTGAAAAATGAATGCGGGGCTTTCTCCCCCGTTTTACCTCCGGCGTGAGAATTAGTTTTTAGACTTGGAAGAGATATATTTGAAATTCAGATGGCTAAAACGAGAATGAGAAAAAATCTCTTACCTGTGTCACATCTAGGGGTATTTATAGATATTAGGCACTTGGTAACCGCTGGGCGGTTGTGGTGCCACGTGTCCCACGTTGGTATTCCCACTAGACCCACGTTCTGAGTGAGGAGTTCTTAACTTCCTGCCTGAAGATTGTACCAGTATCAGCGGCCATGGAACCTGGTCAATTCATTAAAGGTTTTATGGCTAAGTGTTTGGACAAGCAATATCATGCCCGTTGAGGACTTCGCTTAGAGGTAGAATGATTTCTAGGGATAGTGGTAGAGCGCCCTTTGGGGGTTGTAGTAGAGCGCCTCCCGGGCGTAGTGGTAAAATGCCTTCTGGGGGTTGTGGTAGAGCGCCCCCTGGGCGTAGTGGTAGAACGCTCCTCCCGGCGTATTGGTAGAACGCCCTATGGGGATCGATGGCCTTGCATCGGAGTGCTGTGATCTGCCTTGCTTGTTATTGAGAGTGGCTACTTCTACCAACCTATATCAGGTTAATATATTCAAAATAATTTGTACGTATATAATAAATATAGTTAATTGATCTTATTCATTAAAGTCGGGGTGTGATAAGGTTCTTGAGGGATGAATCGGAGTTTTGGAATGAATAGTTTCAATAAGATTTCATTCTCGTTTCAATAAGATTTCATTCTCTTTAACAAAAGTTTATTTTTTGATATATTCTATCTATTCCATTACCGGAACAAGGAAGGACACATGTTATACTATGATTTCAAATCATAAGAGATTTCAATAAATGACATACGTATTCACTCTATCACTAATCAAGTCGAATCTGACGTAGACAAGGAATTGACATTTTCTATTAATTCCTACGGATGGGATAAAAAAACTATTCTTAAAGAAGTCAGGATTGACTTGGAAAATGCTTGGTTCTTTTTGTTGTTTTCAAGCCATTTTCTGTTTTTTATTTTTGAACAGTGAAAATCCGTTCTCTTTTCCATTTTTCAAAACGAAGTTTTGAAAAAAAAAATTGTAAAGAAAACGCAAAACGTCAAAATTCACGTTTTGGGCATTTCTGTACAAAACCCAAATATGGTTGAAAACGCGGAAAACGGGCGAGAGAAGCCCATTAAACCATCTCTCTTCCGTCTCCCTTCTCTCTTCCTTCAACCATCTCTTCCTCCTCTCTTCTTGACGTCGTTTTCGGCGTGGGAAGGCGACAAAGGTGATGGGCCAATGCCAACGCTGTGTGAGGAGGCGACGCTGGTGTGACCGCAGCGTCATGACCAATTCGCTTGGACCCGTCTCCATCTCCTCTCTCTTCGACGTCGGATGCGGTTTGGGGGAGGCAAAGTTCGTGTGTTGATCTTGGTTGATTTGGTGGTGGGACGTTTGATTGTGGTGGTGGTGGTGTTGATTTTGATTTCTGCGTTTCTCTCATTTCTTCTCTGTTTTCTGCATTTCTCCCCTTTGCTCCAACCATCACACGGTGTTGATTTTGGCAGTGGCTGATGGTGCTGGCGGCAGTCGACGATGGTGATTTTCAACAATGGCAATGGTGGTTGCGTTGATTTTGGTTGGCAGTGGTGATTGGTGGCAGTGTTGATTTTGGTCGGCTTTGTGGTGGTGTTGTGGTGGTTTATTCAATAAAATATTATCAACAAATATTATCAAAACTTCAAACCAAATGCGTTTTCCATTTTTGTGTTTTGAGAAAGAGTTTTATAGAATGATAAAAAGAACGTATTTTCAACAATTTCAAAACAAGCACTCAAAATACAAAATCCAAAATGAATTCAAAACTCAAAAATGCAAAATCGAAATACAAAGAGAATAGCCCCTAAACCACCGTTTGACAATCATTATTTGAGAAAAAGTATTTCGAATTGTATTTTTAGAAGAATGTGTGGTTAAAAAGTAAAAAAATTTTAATACTATGTGCAAAATATTTTACTATATGAATGTATGGTTAAAAGTGAGTACGTATAAAAAATAGTTTTCAAATAATAATTGTCAAACGGGGGCTAAATCTTTATTGTTTCTATTTTTTATTTTTTATGAAGAGATGAAATTTTTTTGTCCAAAGACTTCTTGACCAAACATAACTATCGTCACTTTGTACTGTGAATGTAAATATTAGGATTGTTCGCTTTGCTGTTTTCACATCGTTTTCTATTTCCGATTTTTCAAAATAGTGAAAACACATTCTCTTTCTCATTTTCAAAAATGAATTTTTGAAAATAGGGAAAAAAAATGGCTTGAAAACTCTAAACATCTAAAAGACGTTTTGAGCATTTCCCTAACTTTCTTCTGCTAAAACAAAGGAGCCGCCATTTTCCAACCATCTAAACTCTGACCAATCTTCTCCAAAACTATCGAATTTACATACTATTGTGAAGTCGTCAATCCCCTCTTCAATTACCACACAAACAACAACCCAAATATATACCAAAATCGATAAAAAATCATCCTCAAAAACTGATTTAGCGCAAACTGCTTCTGCCAAAATTTCGCCATTTTCCAACCATCTAAACTCTGACCAATCTTCTCCAAAACTATCGGATTTACATACTATTGTGAAGTCGTCAATCCCCTCTTCAATTACCACACAAACAACAACCCAAATATATACCAAAATCGATAAAAAATCATCCTCAAAAACTGATTTAGCGCAAACTGCTTCTGCCAAAATTTCCACCTCCGGCGACCTTCAAGGTCGTGCACCACCACCGATCGATTGCCCACCCTCATACGACTCCAGCAATGGCTTCAAAACTCACAAACGGCTTCCATAAGATCAATTGATTTTGGACATAATTGAAGGTGATCTATGGCAGTAATAGATGCGCTTTGTTGAGAGGAGTGGATTGGTGGTGATCCGCAATTCGAAAGGTGCCCGACGACGATGTTAATAGGATCGAAATTGTGAGTGGTAGCACTGTTTGTTGGGGCTGTTTCCAGTAGGTTCTTGGCCAAATAATCATCGGATGCAGTAGAGGAAGGTGAGGGGGTTCAAGTGATGCTAGGATCTAGTAGTCTAGGTGGTGGGTAGTGGTCAGTTTGTGAGGTAGAAGATAGCGACTCATGGATGGGGCGAAAATCGCCCATGGTAGAAGACAAAAAGAATGAGTAAAAGGTAAACGCATTTTCAATTTTATGTTTTAAGAAACATTTTTTCAAAATGACAAAAAGAATGTATCTTCAATAGTTTCAAAACAGACATTCAAAACATAAAACCAAAATGAATTCAAGCGTTTGTTTGAACCCCATTTTGAGGGGAAAAATAAATTTTTGAATAGTGTATTGATGAGAGATGTGTGGTTAAAAAATAAGGAAATTTTTTGGATTTGCGTGTAATATTATTTTATTGAAGAATGTGTGGTTAAAATAATGTCAAAATACTGTAGAAAAATTCATTTTTTCTAAAGAATGAAGATCAAACAAGGGCCAAAACTCAAAACTTAAAAATTGAAGGACGAAAAGGACAGTCTCTTAGCCTCCATTAAATTTCATTACATTACATTTCATTTTTCTCTTTCATATTTTTAACCACACATTCCATAAAATAATATTACACGTAAATCGAAAAAATTTCTTTCATTTTCAATCACTTATTTTTCAAAAAAATATTATTCCATCCATTTTCATTTCTAGAAAACCGGGGCTTAATTTTGCCAATTTCCTTTCTAATTTTGCATTACATACCTTACTGGGCCACAAACTTAAGCCCAGACTTTTCTTGAGAAAAGGGAAAGCCTGAGTTCTTAAAACAAATCTATGCTAAAGCCAGTCACATTTTTATCTAGTGAGAGCAGCTTTGAACTCTTTCAAAATCATCAAAATTCACATTATATTAGGCATCGTGGATATGAATGTAAGTTCTACTCGATTTGGTATCCTCCTATAACGTACAAATATTAATTTAGATAATAGATTTCTTGTTTTTGATTATGTTTTGGGTTAAAATTAATTGCAGTCTTTCGATTCAAATCCGGCCACCAACAGCTTGATCAGCTCTGAAGCAGATTCTCAAAGAACACTGTATGTTTTTTCTTTCTCTCTACGTACGAAAATCTGATCGTTTGATTTTGACGGGATTAGAAGAAACTAGGGTTCTAGGCTTCTAGACGATCGATTTTCAAAATTGGTAAAGTTAGGTCTATTAAGTTGGTGGAAGTTATCTTAACGTTTTTAATGAAAATTGTCGATTTGTTCTATGTTTGGAAGACGTGGTTAATTTTTTGGGTCCAGTTTCTCATTATAATTTTTTCTTCCCAAATTATATGTTTATGATTCGGCGGTGTAGGTATCCGTACGTGACAGGGACTTCAGTGGTTGGCATCAAATACAAGGATGGTATACTATTGGCCGCCGATATGGGAGGTCAGATCCTGAATCCACGTTTTATTTTGCGATTTGTAATCAGTCAGATATAATTGTGTGGGCATGCATATGTATTTAGGCCTGCACATGTGTATGCAATAATCTGCATTTTCTTTGATATTGATCTTCTACCAGTTCAATGCTGGCCTGGTTGGAGTTTTATAAGATTAGTTGTTGTAAAACGTATAATTAGTAACTATTATCACTCCTGATAGCTTCACATGCCAGTGATGGAAAAGTTAGTGGGGAAAAGTTATGCTGAGAGTGTGCCCTTTTATTCTCTGAGCTGGAAAACGAGTTGTACATTTGATCAATATAGATGTGTCTGTTTGTCCTGTGGTTGAAATGCGTTTTAAACTATTATACTCTCTCATGAGTTGTGAACACATTTTCTTACGTGTATTGGTTATTCTCGTTTCACCGTCTCTTTTGGTTGCCTTTTCCTGCATTATTTATTGAAGGTGTTTTTCTTAAATGATATTGGGTAATTGAGGAGTGTTAACATAATTTGAGTGTAGTTGATAAGAGAAAGTTTGGATGGACATGTGGTTTTAACAAACAGCTAGAAGAAGAATTAAGAATATATGCAAGCAGATAAAGTCATGCCAGAGTATCCTTTATGAGAGAATTGAGTAAGATGGTTTAGGCATATTAACGATGGCTACTAGGGCTTCAGTTTAAGATGGAAATGAGTTTTATTACATTAATGCAAAATTCAGCAAGTTGTGTTGGATGGAGCTAGAGGTGGCAGATGGAAACAAAATCACAATTAAGCATGTTACGTGAGCTAAATTGATAGTTATTGAATCTAGACACGTAGGTTTGCAGATGATACAAGCAACTGTCAAGGGATAATTTTTACATAGTAATGTTGAGGGAGGAAGATGCACTCATGGGTCTCATATATCTAGCATGGAATCGCTATATGTGTTATTCTTCCTTTTGATGTTATGTTTTATATGTAACTATGTGTCCACTTTGTTCTGAGTCAAATGCTTTTATAATTTCATTTATAGGTTCTTATGGATCTACATTGCGTTACAAGAGTGTTGAACGATTGAAGCCTGTGGGAAAACATTCTCTCATTGGAGCGAGCGGTGAAATCAGTGATTTTCAGGAAATAATGCGTTATCTTGATGATCTTATGTAATTGTTCTCAGCAACTTCTTTACAGAATAATTAATTTTAAACTAATCCATGTTCTTGTCCCTATATCTGTTGGTATATCATTACCTAGTCTTATAGAAATTGGCATATCTTTGTGTGAAAATTCGACTCTTTTTTATTCATGATTTGTGTATGTAGCTTGTCTGATAACATGTGGGATGATGGGAATTCACTGGGTCCTAAAGAGGTGCACAACTATCTAACCCGGGTCATGTATAATCGCCGCAATAAGTTCAACCCTCTCTGGAATTCACTTGTACTGGGAGGGGTGAAAAATGGTCAGAAATATCTTGGAACGGTAAATTTCTGTGCATATTTACTTGGTTTACATTTATAATTTTAGCGTTATAAGTTAATTTTTTTCTTTTTTTGGGAAGTTGGGGCTAGATTTGTCTAAAATTATGTGAACTTCCAGGTCAGTATGATTGGTGTTCATTATGAGGACAACCATGTGGCTACTGGGTTTGGTAATCACCTTGCACGACCTCTTCTCCGTGATGAATGGCGTGAGAACTTGACGTTTGAAGAAGGTGTCATACTGCTGGAAAAATGCATGCGCGTGCTTCTGTATCGCGATAGATCGGCTGTCAACAAACTTCAGGTTTTGTTCTCCCTATGTGGAATACATACTTCATGACTTCCTGAAAACTCTTGTACTATATGATGTCTGATTATTTTCTGCAGCCTCTTGCTTGTCGCTTAAAATTTGGAGCAACTAGAAACATCACAAGGATTCAAGACTAACTTATATATCATGACAATAAAGTTTTTTACATCTAACCAGCTAAACCACATAGTTGTTCCATGCAAATATCTTATGCATAGAATTGAAAAAAGGAACAAAAAACAAGGAATTTGAGGTGCTCTATGTAATTGGAATCTATTCCAAACATATATGCCATGGTTCCTTACTTCGACAAGGTACAAATTTGTCCAAGCCGCTTCGTTTCTTTTTGTCCAAGTCACTTCTTTTTTTGGCCAAGGATATCTCATCTGAACAATGAATGAAAGCAAAAAAATCGAAATTAATCCACCCTTTTGGATTTGCGATCCCAGGTAAGATCGGTTTAGGATCATGTGATCCTTTTCTATCAGATAGGAAGGGCTATTAGGAATAGGATTACATAGTTATGGTTCATTTACATTAACATCTAATTATATATTAATCTGGCTACTCTAACCAAAAAGAGGGCAGCTGAGAAATCATGGATGGGGGAGGATATAAGAGGTAATCGAAGCCCATTACCCGTTTCACACAATGTGATTTATGCATTGCATTGGAAGTGGATGAAGTGAACTTTTGTTATAATTTTTGGTAAATATTACTTGATTTTAATCTTTAAGATGAGCTAGATTTTGCTGTAGTTTGAGCTAAGCAAAGTTATTGGGAGCTGTCTTTGTTGTGACTTGTATATTATTGGTGCCATTTCTCTGTTAGTTTTTTCCTCTAGGTAAGCATAGTTTCATTTTATCAAAAATATATTACGTTAAATTATATTGAGTTTGTTGAAGGGGAAGGCTTAATTCTTCAAACTTTGCTGCCTGAGGATATCCTTATTTAAGCCAAAGTAGTTGATACAGTGGAATGTTTCAAGTGACATGATATTAGGTCGAACTTTCTTGTGAGATGAATATTTCCATGACACAGAATTGATTGTGTAAATGCAGATTGCAAAAATCACAGAAGAGGGAGTAACAATTTCTCCCCCCTATTCATTGAAGACTTTTTGGAATTTCTCTGCTTTCGAGAATCCTACCCTTGGCGCTGAGGGCTCATGGTAGCTCAGACAGTTTCTAAATATGTGACATTTTATTCAATTTCATTTGATCACATGTTTGAAACTTAGACCAGTAACCCCTTTGTATTTGCTATTTCATCGGCCTTGGGAACCCTTTGGATATCTTCCTGTTTATTACATCCACAAACTGGAGCTATGTTATTCTGAGCCATTGGCTTTTTACAGTGTTTTCCCCTTGCCTGTTTCTAAATTTGCATGAGATGCATAAAATAGGAGGCAGATAAAGAACATGTTTGTCTAAAGCTTAAAAAAGTTCACTTACTTTAGACTGCACTCAATTTTGTGAAAGAGTTTTTGTTGACGCCCTCTAAGAATTGGAAGGTGTCCAATGGGTGTCTTTTTCCTGCATTTTGAACATTTTATTGCATGTCTAGTAACTTAGATGTGACAAAGCAAAGAAGTTAACATGCGTTAGTTCTTTGTTGTATTGTTATCTACTGTGTAATCATGCATACTAATAGAATTAATTTCCTGCCTCCAATGGCTGGATAAAAACTTTCTACTACTCATGTAGTAAGAGAACTTTAGTTATGATTTTTTGAAATGGATTTTTTGTCAATTCAACAGCGAGAAGTTTTTATCCTATTCACTCGAGTAGGAGATTGGGATCGTGCATACTAAATCTAATCAATAAATATTTTGGTGTGAACTTGACTGAAAGTGTGAAATACATGAGAGATTTTATCCTTCTCTTTAGAATTTATAAATATTGTCTTGTATGCCTTACTAATTACTATAGAAGTTGCTTACTATTTTTTATTTTATTTTTTTTCAATATATGTGCGATGAATTATTCTTTGTATATGCCCTGCTTTGATTATGAATGCACCACAGTGATACGAAGTAAACTGATAAATAAACCATAGGAAATTACGGAGTTTGAGGGGAGTCCCTTGATCCACTGACTTGTCCGTGCGATAACATGAAATTAAGCCTTCTGTTTGGTTGGAATTAAAATTAGATTTTTAGTAGATTTTGATACTTGATGAAATGTGTGGTCGAAAAGTTGTGGGTTTTATAAAAGATGTTGTTAAAATTAATTATTGATTTTGATTTATATTGAAATCTATATTTTAATTTGTACACAGCAGGGCGGTAGCAATTTTTCTTCTCATGTTGTATTTAAAATTTTAAAATTCAGTGGGCTGCATTAATCAAAATTTCCAATTCTGCTTAGAGTTATAAGCCAATTTATTTATCTAGACATATTATGTGTACAAATAGCATTATTTGTTAAAAAATTAATGGAAATTTAAATTAAAGCTAATAATTACTTTTAATTACATATTTTATATTATCTACACTTACAAATATAGAATATAAATTTCATTTGATTTTTTATCAGAATTTATTAAAAATTTATTTTTTATACGTATTAAACACGGACTAAATGTCGAGTTAATTGTCACAATAATCATTGGACTTGCGTCTGTGTTTTTGATCATCCCAACAATCATGGAAATAAGATTTCCTCATTTTTATTACTTGATATTTTCTTTATTTTTGTAGAGTTTTATGCTATTTTCATCATTTGCAAAAATTCAAATTTATTGTATGTTTCGCTATTATAATTAAATTCAACTATTATGTAATTGAGTAAGCATTCCTTGTGGGATCAACAGTTCGGGCTCATTCGACAACTTTATTACTTGTATGCGACATGTATGCTTGCGATACATGTTTATTAACGACCATATATCTAATTCATTTTTATGAGTTTAATAATCAACGACCACTTCAAAGTTCTATCGAAGATATTTTTTGAAGTACAATGAGCAATTGAAAATGTGTTCCAAAGCTTAGTGAGCAATGAAAGACTCCTTCTTACTTGGCAATTTGATAACAGTTGATGGGTACCACCCCGTGCATTCCATTAGCCACTTTACTAATTTCGTTAGAGGTTTAAAACAGATGTTATGTTGGTAAAATAATGTTCAATGGTTGGATAAGTTTAATGGCTAAAATTCAATATTTTAAACATCAGGAAATAATCGAGGAAAGAGATCTAGATTCATTAATTATTGGGACAATTAACTTCTAAATATACATGGATGAGATTCGCAATTTTAGTATTAAATTAAGTACATGAAATAACCACTTATCAACCCTTGATGAAAACCTTTTGTAAACGAATAATGTTATGTAGTTTCATTGAGATTACGATCCCAATTTAGTTGGCGTTAGATGATGCTGAATGAATTCCATTTGGCCTCCATTATTTTAAATTATAATTTCCCCTCTTATTTTCAACCACACAATTTTTTATAAAATAATATTGAATATAAATCGAATTTTTTTTTTTATTTTTCAACTACACATTATTCAAAAAAATACCATTTCAAAATTATAAATTGAAATAATGGGGTCAAAAGATGTTAAATAAAATTGACCATCATTCAATGTCACCTTGGTGTCGCGCGAGATTGTCAACTAAATACTCTTTGTAAACACTTCTCTCAAACATGATCAAACCCATTTCTCAGTCATAAGGCGCTCCTCCCTCTCATTCGTCACAGTAGCCTATGACGTAGCCCAAATCTATAATTCGCATTCGCTTCGTCTCCGTTGTGTTGTATCCAGGTTAGACTTGGTTTCTCGTCTTTGGGTATATGTTTTTCTCAGTTAATTTATAATTGTCTGCTCAAAATTCATGAATAATGGCATGGGCTGCATTATACTAAATTGCTTGGTTGACAGGCGATTTCAATAGGGAGAAGTTGCTATCACATCGATTGCTTCGATCAGTGAATAATCGTTTTAGATCCACAGTTTGGGTATTAGATGGATTTATTCACAATTCTTAATCTTTTGATGGTCTATCTTTCTGGATGCAAAATAAGTGCATAATAGTATAATACATTATAAACATCATAAACGGTCTTCAAATTTTTAATTGAACAATTTGAAGTGTGCAAGCAAATAAAAGAAAAACTTATAAACTATAATTTTTGTTGGTAGAGGCAATGTGGAGTACTCCCAAATTGGGTCTGTTAGAAATAATTCTTTAATATTTTAGTGTGCAGTGCGCTATTATCAACAGGGTTTATCAGATTATATCTTTTGTGGGCCAAAAGCACTGAGGCTGTGCTGTGAGGTGTATGTCTCACACAACTGAGGCATACGCCTCCTAAAACCATCTAACAATCAGCGTCTTGAGGCCTTTTTTGCACGCCTCACAAGCCTTAAGGTGGATTTCAATTGGGTGTTTCAAACCATGATTAGTATTCAATGCAAAAGGAGAGAACAACTAGTTGTTAATAACTGAGTATTGAAGCAAGAGATAGGAAAGAAATAAAAAGCGATTGTCCCAGCAGAGGACCGTGATGATAAGATGACACACTCTTCTTGGATGCCTTAAGGAGTTTTGTCCACACCTGGGAGGTTTAAGATGCGAACCGTCTCAATGTATGATGGAGAGGGGCTCTTGCTAATCTCCCACACACATAAAATGTAAGTAACGTTGAATGGAGCCAATGTCGCTTGAAGTGCTGAGCTTTCATCCTCGCGTAACTAGGAGCCACAAATCGATGGTTCAAAAAGTTGAGGCTTAAAAGTGTTGTTAGTTGGCCCAAGGTGTTCGTCATGTTCAATCCAATAGTTGAAACGATTTTAAGTATTTCAAATTTTTTTGTTAACATGTCAAGCAATTTTAGAGATCACATTACACAATATTTGAGACTATGCCAAGTAGTGTTGCTTAAAAGTGATTGAGAACACATTAAGCATGCATTTGTCTTTTCTGGCATTATTAAGGCGGTGATAAGTTTATATTTTTTTACAGGAGTTTTGATCACTTTAAAGCAATATTTTTCCATGCCAATCAACAGGTACGCCAAGATCAAAGTTATGGTAGAGGAAAAATACTGACCCTCAATAGAAGCAATTCAGAACTACCTGCCATGAACCTTACC